TCTTTATCTTTCTCCTTGTCTTTGTCTTTCTCTTTCTCTTTCTCCTTCTCTCTCTCTTTTTCTTTTCCTTTCTCCTTTTCTTTTTCCTTCTCTCTTTCTTGATCCTTCTCTTTCCCTTCCTTCAAGTCTTTCGAAACATTTTCTTTCTCTCGTTCTCTATTTTTTCTTTTGTCTCTCTTACGCTCTCTTGCTTGCCATTCGCAAGAGGTGTAGCTTCTAAGGCTTGAACTCTCATCTAAAAAAACATGAACATGACTTTCGTTTGCCCTAATCCCGCACTGTTTCGGTTCAGTTCTCTTCGTTCTTTCAATTGCTGTTATGTGCATCCCATTTTGTTGTCTAAAACCTGCTGACCTCATCTCAAACGCTCACTTGAGCATGTTTTTCTCATCATGCGGATCAGTTTGAGGGAAAAATCTCTGAAATTGTACCGTTTTAAAGTGAGTTGAACATTTTTCCTGTCCACCGTGTTGCAGGACAAACCACCGACCGCTCACTGGAACATGAAAGACCAAAATGAACTCGGGAGCAGTTTTATGCAGAGTTTCATGGAATTCTATTCATTAGCACACAACCACTCACTACTTCTGCTGTTTTTGCTCTTTCTCTATACAATCATCTATTGCAAGTCTCAGCGTAAAGAGAAGGGATGGAATGAAGATTTGGTTCGACTGTGCATAGGTTGTTCAGATATTCGTTCTGTCCAGGAATCACATGTCTTGTTGGTTAAGAGTTAAGCTTGTCAGCAGTAGCTGTTATCGTCCTTGTTCATTCTGCTCATTCATAGGTATTTCGATCTGTCACCTATACATTGAGTTGACCTAATGCTAATTACTGATCCCTAAAGCTGCTCTAATCATAATGATTAGAGCAGCTCTCCGCAAGAAATAGCGGATATACGTGATCTTACGTAGGTCACTGTAATTGCACAAAGCTTTTTAATGACACCTCAATTGTTTTCGAAACTAATTTGGTTATGCAAATTTCTATATTTTATTTTGTTTTTTGTTT